GTTTTCGTATGCGTTTGGCCAATCAATGTCTACTTATGTCACGATTAGTACCAGTTGTGCTGGTTAGACCCTGCTCCGGAGTAGGAGCTAATTTGGTTCTCGAAAAAGGCAGTCCGGTACTAAAATCGCACCCAGTTCCGGCGGTGCGAAAACGCCAAAAAGTGGGTAGTTCCACAATTAGTTCTGGTACTATGAAAAGGTTCCCGTGGTGCGAAAGGCCCTAAAAGCAGACTCCTAGAGAGAGTGGTGATTTATTACACCACAATTTCCATTCAGAATCATTCAAGAGTCTGTATGCAGTGCAAAGATGCATCTGAAGGAACGTTTTTTTATGAACAAGTCATAAAAATGGAATTTATTACCCTGGAATGTCACAGAATTTGGCTTAATCAAACTTAATCAAATCGCAGACTAGTGTTTGTGAATATTAAACCAGAAAGAGACTGCTGTTTAACATGAAATCTGTGTTTTGCGTGTTTCCGTTTCGTCTACTGCTCATACAAGTGTGTGTGACACATTAGTGGTGTTTTCTGTGTCTGTCGTCTCACTATATGAGGTCTTGAACACAAACTTCATCTCTAGAGCTGCTCTGAGAGTCACTTTAACAGCTTTTCACCATTTCATTTGAGAAAACTATCATCAGATACACACAGAAACTCAAAGCTCTTCACTACAACCCACCAAAATAAAAGTTTGGTTTGAAGAAATTACGACAATTATATTACTTAATTTTGTAAAGTATATGTTTTTCTTAAAGTAATAATAATAATAAATAATGTATTTTATGTTTTTTAAAACATTTTACATCCATGTTTTAATTTAAATCGTAAACCTCTGATGGTTCAGCACTGTCAAAAAATAAAAGGAACTGTTAAATTTTCATTTGATTACATTTTAAAAAGTTAAACTATTTAAATTAAATTTGATTGCCACTGTTTTTGATAATACATTTGCAATCGATCATAAAACATAGAATCCAGAAAAAGTAAAATAGACAACACAGAATTTCTGAATAAATAAAACACATTTCATAGGGCAATAGTATTACTCATTTTAAATAAATTCTGAATTTGATAGATTAGACATGCTTTTTGATTATTAAAATGTATTTAAACCATTAAACTGGAATCCAGAAAAATTTAATCTTTTTTTTTTTTTTTTGAAAGAAAAAAAAATTGTCTTTATGTATATTGTGTATGTTATGTATTTATGTATATTTTATGCATTTTTGAAAAAAAAATAAAAATAAAAAACTGATTTACAATGTTTTCCTTCAAGGAAAATGTGTGTATAAATGACAAATGTAGGTGTATTGTTCTAGTTATGTGCTCAAATGTGTGTGTGTGTGTGTGTGTGTGTGTGTATATGTGTGCAGATATGGCGTGATCATTGTGGGCAATCCTAAGGCTCTGTCCAAGCAGCCTCTGTGGAACCACCTGCTGAACTACTACAAGGAGCAGAAGGTTCTGGTGGAGGGACCGCTGAACAACCTGAGGGAGAGCCTCATGCAGTTCAGCAAACCACGCAAGCTGGTCAACACCATCAACCCTGTGAGTAACACACACACAATCACATGTCAGGGTTTCTAAAGTCTTTTCATGCTGATTCACATGCACGGCTATACATGCATGCAAAGCTGCTTAATTACAATTGCATTTAATAATAAGCAATTGCAATATGCATTATTAGTGCTTCTGTATTAGTGCTTTCTTATGCATCTGTAACATTACATTCACCACCAAGGTAACAAAGAAATTTCAAATAAGGAAACAAAATATAAAAAAAATACTCAAACATAAGTTGCAAAATGCTTCTCCTAATAGTGTAAATGTGTGTTTCAGGGAGCCCGTTTCATGAGTACCGCCATGTATGATGCGAGAGAGGCCATGATTCCTGGATCTGTGTATGATCGCAGCGGCACTGGTGAGAAAACAATCACATACCATTGCTCATGTCTCACTGCAGTTGCAATTAATTAGTTCTAATTTAGTTTCTTATTCACAATTAAATTCATATTTGTGACCCTGGACCACAAAACCAGTCATAAAGGTCAATTTTTCGAAATTGAGATTTATACACCATCTGAAAGCTGAATAAATACGCTTTCCATTGATGCATGGTTTGTTATGATAGGACAATATTTGGCCAAGATACAACTATTCTATGAAACTATGAAAATCTGGAATCTGAGGGTGCAAAAAAAAATCAAAATATTGAGAAAATCGCCTTTAAAGTTGTCCCAATGAAGTTCTTAGCAATGCATATTACTAATCAAAAATTACGTTTTGATATATTTACAGTAGGAAATTTACAAAATATCTTCATGGAACATGATCTATACTTAATATCCTAATGATTTTTGGCATAAAAGAAAAATCAATCATTTTGACCCATACAATGTATTTTTGGCTATTGCTACAAATATACCCCAGCGACTTAAGACTGCTTTTGTGTTCCAGGGTCTCATTTGGTTCTTATTTTTCTTGTTGATCAACGTATAAACTAATTTAATTGGTTAGTTTAAGCATCAACCAGATGAATCCAGTGTTATTCTGTTATCGTTAACTAAAACTAAAACCAAAACCATAAAAAATTTGTTAATTGAAATAAAATATAGTAAACTTAAACTTGTTTTAAACTTAATATCTAAAACTAAATAAACTAAAACAAGTGAATATAAATTAATAAAAAAAAACATTTAAATAAAAACGACAAAACACAAAATAATATAAACAAAAAATTCACTATAAAAGTAAATATAAAGATAAAAATTATATAATTGTATTTTAGATACAAATGATAAAATAAATATAAAAAATATAAAACACATAACATCCCATTCAAAATAGTATATCAGTGATAAAAAAATAGCACTGTTATTTCATGATGAACCTGCTTTTGACATGCTTATTTGTGAAAAATACATATGTAATTTGTCACTTTTTGTTTGTCTTTACAGGGCGTCCATCTAATATGTACTTCCAGACTCATGACCAGGTCGGCATGATCGGGACTGGGCCGAACCCAATGGGCTCCATGAACATCCCCATCCCGTTCAATCTGGTCATGCCGCCCATGCCTCCGCCTGGGTACCTGGGCCAGGTGAACGGACCTGCTGCCGGTGAGAGAAAACCCCAAATCACTCAATTAAGACTGCTTTTGAACAAGAAACTTTGACTAACATTATACTAACATTATATTAGTGAACTCTATATGGCCCCTTTAACTCTTTCCCCGCCATTGATGAGTTATCTCGTCTTTTACAAGAAAACACTTCCCCGCCAAAGACGAGTTTTTACGGCTTTCCGTGTTTTCACTGTTATACACTCGGGGGCGCTAGTACGCATCTTCTGAACGAGTACAAAACCTCCCGAACAAAAACACACGTGAACAGGACGGAGAAACGAGCGATCTCTTATGTAAACAGATGCATATGAAAAATAATGCGATCAACAGCAAATAAATGAAAACTGCATAATGTTACAGAGTAAAATGTTGATCCAGGAAGTGATGTCTGTGCAAGCTTTGGAGGTGTTGATGGAAGCGATTTACTGGATTTATGCTTTGATAATGGTACTGAATATTATCCAGATGTAGTTTTTAATAAAAATGTGATTTTCTCACCTTTTTGCTCAAAATTATGCATTTTTTATGAAACCTACCTATATTCAAGTGTTGATAAAAATAGAATGCTTTAAGCTAGAATAATTTTGTTTAAAAGTAGAGGCTCTGATCTTTATTTTGGTGTATTGCATATTCAAATATTCATACAGCAAATTATACTGGAGGCCATCAAATTTTAGTGAAAATCATCAAAAGCGGTGGCTGGCAACTTTTTTCAAAAATGCTGGCGGGGAAAGAGTTAATGATATTAGCTACTTTTGAAGAGATAGAGAAAGAAGCTGAAGATGGAGTGACGAGGTGAAGCAGAACGCAATCAGGAATACAATATTAATCAGTTCTCTCTCTCTGTTTACAGGTCGTGGTGCTCCTAAAGGTAAGACCGGGGGTCGCGGAGGTCGTCAGAGGAACCGTGGCACCGGTAACCACGGCAGCGGGCAGCCCAACATGCCAAGCAGCCAGGCCAGTCAGGACCTGGTGTCCCAGCCCTTCTCTCAGGGTCCACTGACCCAGGGCTACATCACCATGAGCCAGCCTTCACAGATGAGCCAGCCTGGACTGTCCCAGCCTGAGCTCTCACAGGTGCACATGCTCACGTTTGTGTGGGATGTTCCCACTTTTATGAGCGCTATAAGCCTCTCGAGTCTGTGTTAAAGTGACCTTGTTTTGTTAATTCTGTAGTTTTAAATTTTGTGTTTGGTCTTTTGTGTGAAACAGGATAGCTACCTGGGTGATGAGTTCAAATCCCAGATGGATGTGGCACTTTCCCAGGATTCCACCTACCAGGGCGAACGGGCATATCAACACGGAGTGACTGGACTCTCACAGTACTAGAGTGTAAGACGACACACGCATCTTAAAAGACCACACATACACTACCGTTCAAATGTTTGGAGTCAGTAAGACTTCTTGAAAGAATGTAATCTTTACGCATTAAATTGGTCAAAAGTGACAGTGAAGACATTTATAATGTTACAAAAGATTCTATTTCAAATAAATGCTGTTCTTTTGAACTTTCTATTCATCTGTGAATCCTGAAAAATAAAATGTATCACAGTTTCCACAAAAATATTGTGCAGCACAACAGTTTTCAACATTGATAATAATCAGAAATGTTTCTTGAGCAGCAAATCAGCATATTAGAATGATTTCTGAAGATCATGTGACACTGAAGACTGGAGTAATGATGCTGAAAATTCAGCATCACAGGAATAAATTACATTTTAAATTATATTCACATAGATTATTTTAAATTGTAAAAATAGTTCACAATATTACTGTTTTTACTGTATTTTTGGTCAAATAAATGCAGCCTTGGTGAGCAGCAGAGACTTCTTTCAAAAACATTTAAAAAATCTTATCAATGCTAAACTTTTTTGAACAGTAGTGTACATTAATTTACTCATCTGGTTAGTGTAATTGATGCCTAATATGGCCTAGAAACCCAAAATGCGTCCTTGAGTTTCACCTGTGCTATTTCTTTTTTTTTTGTATACACACACAAATCGCTAAAACTTAAACTAAAACTAATAAATAAAAATAAATAAATACTACATAGACATGAGAAAAATACAAATAAGTAAAATGATTAAAATAATATTAAATTAAAAATAAGTTAAAACAATAATAAAAATGAAAGAAAAACAATGAAATTACTAAAATGAACTAAAATTAAATTAAAAACAAAATATAAAAATTAATTAAATAAAATATATTAAAATTAAATAATAACATAATATAATAAAAATTATATAATAAAATTAAAGAAAAACAAAACAAAATGACTAAAACCTGAACTAAAATTAAATTGAAAACACAAGTTTTAAAAATAAAATCTAAAAAAACGATCTCTGTCCTCTTCTCCTTGGAGCCCATTTTTAAAACCTGATGCTTTTTTGTTCATTTTAAAAACAGTAGCTAATTATGTTTACAGTAACAGCTTTGTGTGTGTGTGTTTTTTTTTAAAGTCAGTTCCAATTTGCTTTTTTTTTTTCCCCCTAGCTATTTATGAATGGAAAAACACCTCATGTGTGCAAGTCCCCCATTGCTAACGCTGTCGATTTTCTCTGTCTGTGTTCGCAGGTTGTTGGAACAGGAGCTAGGCCTGTGCTGAGCTTAGTTCATCAGCATTTTAAATATGGGTAAATATAAAAAAAGAACAAACATGGATGCCCGTTTACCACTGTTACAACTGAAGCACCATGGTGTGAGAGCAACAGGAGAGAATCAAACCAATCACAGGAGGGAGTGAAGCTGGACAGGACGAAAGAGAACGTGTGAGTGGCGGACTACATCCACCATTCGTTGAGGACGGGGAGGAGAGGGGAGACGCAGTGTTAGGAGGAGACCAAACACGAGATCTTCGATCTGCAACTCCGCAACGTGGAGGAGGCTCCTGGAGCGCAGGGGCCCTTCCCGGCCTCCTCTCTCTCTCGCCTGGCTGCCGACGTCAGCCTCAGGCCTTGCCCTGCCAACAGAGACGGAGCCAAGATGAAGTTCTCTTAAAACTACCTGCAAAAACCACGCTTGCTCTGTCGTCTCCACGAGCTGAGAGAGGGGGTGACGTATTTCAAGTAATTATAAACGCTTTCCAAGCAGCTGAATTTCGGGAAAATAAGAGTTCCCCTCAAAGTTGACATCTGACATTCAGGTTCTACCACCGAACATCTTTGAGAGAACGGACGCCTGTGGCAAGAGTTTTCGCGGTTTGTTTCATTCGCTTCGGAGCACCTCTCGTCTCCAACCAAGGTGCTAGGACACTGTGAAGGACGATTCAACTTTGAGGAAAGTTTTCCGCCTGAAGTCCGGGAGGGTAGAGGTGCCGTAACAAACGGAGGGCCCGTCGCATCTCGTCTGCTCTCCGCTAGGTGATTAGGGGTAGAAATGGCTTTGGGATGTTTCTTTTTCCTTTTAAATGTTTTGTCCCTTGCCGAAGGGACCGACAGAATCTATCCTTTCTTATTTTCCTCTTTGTTTTAAAATGGTTTTTGTTCGACTAGAATAAAAGCAGTCAAGTAGAACCGCTCGATTTAGCTTGCTTGATTTAGATGTGGCTTAAAAATCAATCCAAATCACCAGGATCTGTGGGTCAGGAACGTCGTCAAAATCAGGTGAAACTTGTTCATCTGGGTCTGTTCGATGTAACATGTCAATCACAGCAAACTCCTCCCACTGCTATTCTGTCCAATCAGGTGAAACTTGATCATCTGACTCTTTTCGATTTGGTACGAGACAAATGTGTCAATCACAGTAGACCCCTCCCACTGCTATTCTGTCCAATCAGGATGCAGTCATATTGTTGTGCCCGAATCGCTTTAGTTGCGCCTCAGAGAAAGCAGAAGGATGAAGCACAGACAGGTGAGATTCTCGCTGTTTTTGTGTCTGACCGTAAGAGGCTCTCGTCTTGCGCTCTTGCGTTATGATGTCAGTGAGAGCGGGCGGTTTTTTACGCCGCCGACAGGTGTGTGTGTGTGTGTGTGTGTTTCCAGAATGCCCTCCTTCATTATTATTTGTGTTGTGGTAGATGGTAGTTTTGCATTTCCCCCATTCTAGTTGCTTTTCCCCCCCTCTTCTTAGTAGCTAATATTTTTATTTGTATACAGTCTGACGTGAAGTTCTCGTAACCTCTCTCAGTGTGGAAATTGCTCAAGTTTATTTGGTTTCGACGGACCCATTCAGAATTTTACGGCAGCTTTTAACATCTGTTCCGACCGATTCCAGTCGCCTCAACTTTGTACTTTTACTTTGGAGTGTTTATACCTTGATGTTACTCCATACTCGCAGCCCTTTTGAATGTTTGATATTACCCAAGTACCACCACTCGCATTTTATAGCATCGAGCACAGATTCGTTTTAAGTTCACATCCTTTGCTTTCTCTTTTTTTTCTTTGCCCACAAGACAATCATGATTCGTTCATAACCAAGGTCGCAAAAATGTTGGCGTGACTTTTCCATGTTAACCTCTCATTTTAGAATTAACTCATTCTCTGAAAATCCTTGAAACAGTTTAGTTTTCACATTTCATACTTCAACTGTAAATATCAGTGCTCGGATTTGATATGACATCAGCCGAATTGTTGCCAATGACAATGAGATGCTAACATCCACAACAAGGCCAAGGTGATCCACAGCCATGCATTCTGGTTATTATCGAGTATGAAGAGACTAGGTAATTCTGAGGTTCTGCTGCGAAAGTTGCATCAAATTTGAATGAAATGTACAATACATTTATATGCTTTAACTTGCAATGAAGAGGAACATTGGAAAAACATCAGGATATGAAGTATAATTCAGGATTTTGTTTTGTGGAAAAAGTTTTCACCCCCACAATATGTACTTCTTGTAACGTTATGAATAAATGTTGATTTCTTTCATCCGATTCAGTTCTTCATTGTCTTGTGTATGATCTATAATGAAGCTTAAATATTGAATATGCATGCCCGTTTCTGCCACAGAATAAAAAAATAAAATTGCAACTTTTTATCTCGCAATTCTGATTTTTTTTTTTTTTTGGGGGGGTCAGAATTGCAAGAAAAAAAGTCAAAATTTTAAGTTTACATATCGCAGTTGTGACTTTTTTTCCTCTGGATTCTGATTTATATATAGAAATTCAGTTTTTTTTCCACCGAATTAAAAATTTTTTATGTAATTGTGGCTTTTTATCTCACTTTTATTTATTTTATATTTTTATTTTGGCAATTCTGAGTTTCTATCTTGCCAGAATTGAAAGGAAAAAAAATCTGAATTGTGAGATAAAAAGTCGCAGTTACCTATTATTTTTATCTTGTGGTGGAAACAAGCTTCCATTGCATATTTAACCTGTTCTATCCTGGATTACAGTAAGGAAGCACACTTCTGGTGTTTACTTTTTCACAAACTGATTTCTGTGGTCTCAATTTAGTTGAAGTGAAAATGAGAAAAAGTTTTGCTCAATGCAAATTGCGTAAGTCTGTCAGATTTGAGACTTTTGTTATTAATGATGTGTACGATCATACTTGCTCTAAAGCTGTCTTTCCCCCCCAAAGTAACATTCATTTGTATTAATTGCAGAAACTCCCTGCTGTAATGTGTCATTCTCTGTAGTGACAGAGCAGATCTGATGTGGCGTTTTCATCAATCACACATTAAACCTACTGTGTTATTCATTTAGCTTTTTTCTAAGTTCACACAAGGTCAGCCTTAATTACTGGACATTGAATTATATATAGAAATTCAGTTTTTTTTCCACCGAATTAAACAATTTTTATGTAATTGTGATTGTATCTCACTTTTATTTATTTTATATTTTTATTTTGGCAATTCTGAGTTTCTATCTTGCCAGAATTGAAAGGAAAAAAAATCTGAATTGTGAGATAAAAAGTCGCAGTTACCTATTATTTTTATCTTGTGGTGGAAACAAGCTTCCATTGCATATTTAACCTGTTCTATCCTGGATTACAGTAAGGAAGCACACTTCTGGTGTTTACTTTTTCACAAACTGATTTCTGTGGTCTCAATTTAGTTGAAGTGAAAATGAGAAAAAGTTTTGCTCAATGCAAATTGCGTAAGTCTGTCAGATTTGAGACTTTTGTTATTAATGATGTGTACGATCATACTTGCTCTAAAGCTGTCTTTCCCCCCCAAAGTAACATTCATTTGTATTAATTGCAGAAACTCCCTGCTGTAATGTGTCATTCTCTGTAGTGACAGAGCAGATCTGATGTGGCGTTTTCATCAATCACACATTAAACCTACTGTGTTATTCATTTAGCTTTTTTCTAAGTTCACACAAGGTCAGCCTTAATTACTGGACATTGAAAATGAATTTGACTTCACTGACAAGCTCTTAATCCATGTTACTTGCTGTTACACCTAATGAAAGGTCCAAATATACATATATATATATGTATGTATATACAGTGGGTACGGAAAGTATTCAGACCCCCTTAAATTTTTCACTCTTTGTTATATTGCAGCTTATCAAGGATGTTTTTCTGAAAAATACTTTTTCTATTATCATAACACCATAGACAGTAAAAATTCAGGTTTTTTATGTGTTTAAATTAACATTCTCAAATATATATATATATATATATATATATATGCACACACACGCACAAAATAAATATATGCATGTAAAAATGTAGAATCCAGAATTTAGAGGTCATGAAAAAGTTAATTGGACATTGTTAGAAAAAAAATGTGTGTGTGTTTCTAACAGTGGCCATATTTTTTAGGCTACTTTTTCATGAATATAACATTCTGTATGAATTTTTACATGCATGTATTTATTTTTTTAACAGTGGCCACATCTTTCAACATATGTGACCAAAATAATATATAAATCATAATATGTAAAAAAAAAAAAACGTGGTAACGCCATTGTTTTACTGCATTTTGTAAGTGAGGATGGCGTCTCATTAGGGTTACATCAGCACAAATGTCTGCGTGTTAACGGATCTTCTCTCTCTCATCACTAGAGGGCGAGAGGCGCCGCAATGATGCTGCAGCTCCGATTCTGTCCGCCGGGCGGCGCGCGCGAGTCTCTTAAAAAAAACCGCCAGCGGCAGCGCTCGAGCACAGAGCGGTGGGAGGCGCGGGACATCAAAGCCAAACTGGTTACAAAGTAACAGTCGCGGCTCGCCATCAAAGTCGCTGCGGGAAGCATTCGAACGCGGAGCGTGACAGCCGGCGGGCCTTTCCCGCGAATTCGCGTGCTTGCTGAACTACAACCAAAGACAGACACGCCGGGAAAAGAGGAACTGACCGCGCGCTCGGTCATCACGTTCAGTTTCTGCGGCTGCTGCTGCTGTTGCATTCGCGTGCTGCCATGCACATATATGCCGCATAGAAAGACTCCAGACACGGATTACACCCTATAGGCTGCGAACAGTTGCTCCAGAACAGGACCAAGAGTTTGACACCCTGTGTGTTTACAACGACATGGGGTAAGAGTCACTGCTCTGTCATATTTATAGGAACTTAAGAGACTTTAACTGAGCGAAACTGAAGCCAGAAGAACTTACCAGAGTACTTTTAGTTACTGCAGCTATGTTAGATTAAAGACTTCATATGTTATTAACTGTTTATATGTCTCAAAGCAAATATGTATTTATTTAGGACAGTCCTACGTTAGGAAACTGTGGAGATAGTCATTGTATATTTGTGGATTTGACACAGTATGACATGCTATGATGCATCTAAACAACATTCTTTAATTGTGTGAAATATTAGCATTATACATGCAGTTTTTTCAGCTCGTATAAAAAGGTGACCTGCGAGAAATCTTAAAGGTGATTGAACTGCATGGTGACCAGAAACACACACTTTGCATTTGAACTTGCATTTAACATTTAAATCTGGGATATGATACTAAATTTCTTAATTATTTGTATTTATCTTTATTTAATTAAATAAGAATAAATGCATAAATACATTTTATTAAATAAAAGCAATTAATATTTAAATGTAATATTTTTTTGCATTATTTTTATTTAGTTATAGATGTTTAGGTTTTGTTTAATCAGATTATTAAATGATCAAGAAGACAAATAAAACTATTAATTAAAGTCTACATTTTTTGTTAAGATGTTATAATGCATTATTTATTATTAAGATTGTTTGCATGCTTTAAATGGACTGGAATGAGTCCACTAACTTCATCCACGACCTTGACCCAAATATGTCATTCATTTTCTCAATATTTTCAATGTATATATGAACTATATCTGTTCGGGTGGGTTTATGTTTAATTGTTTTCTTTCTCTCATTTCTAATGGCAGAAAAAGACCCTCATCTGCCCAGTAAGAAGAATGTTTCCGTTGCACAGAGAGAGGTAAGTCATGATATAATGTCTTTATCAGATCCTCAGACCCTCGTTCAAAGTGTTGTTTTTTTTAAGGAATAAACCAATATCTAGGCTAGATCCGATTAATTGATCCATTTTGAAAATAACTGCTAACAATCATTTTACGGAATCTCCCAGCAGCCCTTATTTTTAATTCATTGTATTATTATTATTATTATTATTATTTTGCATTGTTGCAAAGTAAATATAGTGTAAATTAATTTTAATATTGTATACTTTTATAATATATATGTCATTTTGTGTATGTCTCATTATTCATCATTAAGAATGTGTATATTAAAACTAAAACAAAAAAATAAACCTTTCTGTACTTAAAATAAAAATACACATGAAATAAAATAAAATATAAAAAACACCTTTAAACTGATTTAATTTCAGCAACATTTCTCATTTTTCATTTAGTTTGACTTGATTTACTAAAATAACTAAAACTAAAACTGAAATAAAAACTGTATAGGAATAAACAAAAACTAATAAAATGAAAGCCAAAAAAAATGCAAATTCAAAATATAATAAAAACTAAAATAGCATGTCAGTGATACTAAAATAACACTGATGCGCTTCAAGCCAAGTCATCTTTATTTTTATAGAGCATTATATAATGCAGATTGTTGTAAAGCAGCACATAGAGAAATGCAATTAAATGCAAAAATCACTTTGTAAAATGGACAAAGCACCTGTTTTTCATGGAATGACCCATTTATCCTACTCTTAGTATATTATGCAGGAATTATGACTGCATAGATAAAGGGAGATTTCTTCTCGTACTGTATTAATCTCTTGGAGAAATGACACCGAACATGAAAAAGGTCATGGGATGTTGTTTATGAAACAGCCAGTATTGTGTTTTTTTAGTTGCCCTGACAACTGTACAATGTATGTTCTGCAGTGTCTCAAGTGTCCATCTCAGTGTGCTGGATGCTTTATGGATGATCATAAAGCTGTTTTGACCTTCAGGAGGCCTGTAACGGGTTAAATCAGTAGAGTAGTGATTCTGCAGTTAATTAGTTCAGCGGCGGTAAGGTGTGATGCTGGCGGGTCAGAACACGCCTGGCCTAATTTCTTCTTTCTAGCTGGATTGTCCTTCAAACGATCCCACTTTGTTTTAAAGGAACAGTTCACCCAAAAATGAACATTTGATGAAAATGCACTCTCCTTCAGGCCTCCAAGATTAGGATGAGTTTGTTTCTTCATCAGATTTGGAGAACTGTAGCATTGCATCACTGTCTCAGCAATGGATGCTCTGCAGTGAATGGATGCCGTCAGAATGAGAGTCCAAACAGCTGATAAAAAAAACCCCTATAATCCACACCACTCCAGTCCATCAGTTAATGTCTTGAGAAGACAAAAGCTGAAACAAATTCATCATTTAGACATTTTTTTTATTTTAAGTTTAAACTGTTGCTTCCAGCTAAAATACGAGTCCATAATCCATAATATCCATTATCCAGTGAAAAAGTGGTCTGGTCTGAATCAGGAGAGAAATCTGCACAGATCAAGCAGCGTTTACAACAGTCCAAAACAGCTCTA